CCCCTCTCTCTCCCCTCTCTCCCTCCTTTTCTCGCTTCTGCGTGCCATCTTGTCTCGCTCCACTTCTGAGCCTTGCTGTCCAATTTTCATTTCACGCATCATCGCCGCTGGAGAGTGTCTGGAATCGCAGTGCGGGCACCTGAATCCTGTGCGTTTGCATGGACGTGTTGTGTGCGCCACAATGTGCTCTATACATCCGGAGCCGTCTGCTTTGTGTTTCCATTCAGTTCTAATTCTAAAGGATTTTACAGGTTTTTTTTAAAAAGAATTTCTCGGCAGAACTTTTTTTTTGCTGGCAGAATTTTTAGATAACTTGTTTAATAATTAAAGAGCAGCCGAGACCCACCAGGTCCACCGGCACCCACGTCTGTGACCGCGCCGCTCTGCTGATGTAGTAGACAAGAACTGAATTTTCTTTGGTCACATTTCGCTAACCGGAGAATCAAAGTTGGAAAGAGAGACACCGATCCTGAGCTATATCCATGTATAATAATAGTTTGTGACTGAGGGGGGACATTAGAGTGTAAGCTCCTCTGTACAGAGACTGATGTGACTGAGGGGGGACATTAAAGTGTAAGCTCCTGTGTACAGAGACTGATGTGACCGTGGGGGAGGGGACATTAGAGTGTAAGCTCCTCTGTACAGAGACTGATGTGACTGAGGGGGGACATTAAAGTGTAAGCTCCTGTGTACAGAGACTGATGTGACCGTGGGGGAGGGGACATTAGAGTGTAAGCTCCTCTGTACAGAGACTGATGTGACTGAGGGGGGACATTAAAGTGTAAGCTCCTGTGTACAGAGACTGATGTGACCGTGGGGGAGGGGACATTAGAGTGTAAGCTCCTCTGTACAGAGACTGATGTGACTGAGGGGGGACATTAAAGTGTAAGCTCCTGTGTACAGAGACTGATGTGACCGTGGGGGAGGGGACATTAGAGTGTAAGCTCCTCTGTACAGAGACTGATGTGACTGAGGGGGGACATTAAAGTGTAAGCTCCTGTGTACAGAGACTGATGTGACCGTGGGGGAGGGGACATTAGAGTGTAAGCTCCTCTGTACAGAGACTGATGTGACTGAGGGGGGACATTAAAGTGTAAGCTCCTGTGTACAGAGACTGATGTGACCGTGGGGGAGGGGACATTAGAGTGTAAGCTCCTCTGTACAGAGACTGATGTGACTGAGGGGGGACATTAAAGTGTAAGCTCCTGTGTACAGAGACTGATGTGACCGTGGGGGAGGGGACATTAGAGTGTAAGCTCCTCTGTACAGAGACTGATGTGACTGAGGGGGGACATTAAAGTGTAAGCTCCTGTGTACAGAGACTGATGTGACCGTGGGGGAGGGGACATTAGAGTGTAAGCTCCTCTGTACAGAGACTGATGTGACTGAGGGGGGACATTAAAGTGTAAGCTCCTGTGTACAGAGACTGATGTGACCGTGGGGGAGGGGACATTAGAGTGTAAGCTCCTCTGTACAGAGACTGATGTGACTGAGGGGGGACATTAAAGTGTAAGCTCCTGTGTACAGAGACTGATGTGACCGTGGGGGAGGGGACATTAGAGTGTAAGCTCCTCTGTACAGAGACTGATGTGACTGAGGGGGGACATTAAAGTGTAAGCTCCTGTGTACAGAGACTGATGTGACCGTGGGGGAGGGGACATTAGAGTGTAAGCTCCTCTGTACAGAGACTGATGTGACTGAGGGGGGACATTAAAGTGTAAGCTCCTGTGTACAGAGACTGATGTGACCGTGGGGGAGGGGACATTAGAGTGTAAGCTCCTCTGTACAGAGACTGATGTGACTGAGGGGGGACATTAAAGTGTAAGCTCCTGTGTACAGAGACTGATGTGACCGTGGGGGAGGGGACATTAGAGTGTAAGCTCCTCTGTACAGAGACTGATGTGACTGAGGGGGGACATTAAAGTGTAAGCTCCTGTGTACAGAGACTGATGTGACCGTGGGGGAGGGGACATTAGAGTGTAAGCTCCTCTGTACAGAGACTGATGTGACTGAGGGGGGACATTAAAGTGTAAGCTCCTGTGTACAGAGACTGATGTGACCGTGGGGGAGGGGACATTAGAGTGTAAGCTCCTCTGTACAGAGACTGATGTGACTGAGGGGGGACATTAAAGTGTAAGCTCCTGTGTACAGAGACTGATGTGACCGTGGGGGAGGGGACATTAGAGTGTAAGCTCCTCTGTACAGAGACTGATGTGACTGAGGGGGGACATTAAAGTGTAAGCTCCTGTGTACAGAGACTGATGTGACCGTGGGGGAGGGGACATTAGAGTGTAAGCTCCTCTGTACAGAGACTGATGTGACTGAGGGGGGACATTAAAGTGTAAGCTCCTGTGTACAGAGACTGATGTGACCGTGGGGGAGGGGACATTAGAGTGTAAGCTCCTCTGTACAGAGACTGATGTGACTGTGGGGGAGGGGACATTAGAGTGTAAGCTCCTCTGTACAGAGACCGATGTGACGGGCTCAGTGTTCTCTGTACAGCGCTACGGTATATGTCAGAGCTATATCAATGTATAATGATAGTATGTGACTGTGGAAAGTTTCCATGCGTTACATTGTACGTTCCGTGTCTTCCAGGTACATCCAGGGTGCCTCCTCCCCCAAGGACATGGTCATTATAGTGGATGTGTGAGTATCAGTCCTCCTCCATGTTTCTGTGTGTTGCTGGGTTGCTCCTCATGCAGGTAGAATGAAGACTTTCTAGAAGTTGTACACGGCACGGCTTTGTCTGGAAGGGACGGAGACCATATTGACTGCATAAAGACTTAGAGGATCTGTCACTCTGCTCTCTCCTTCTATCTGCCTTTCTTTCTGTCTTTTACATCTGCGTGCCGTTACAGTGACAGGGTCTCTTTTAACAATCCTGCAGCAAGCCATTTAGATCCTGATGGTTCGAGCTCCATTATCACCCTTATACAGTAAACGGGGAAACAGGAGGCTCTCCGCAGCCACTGACAATTGCAATCCATAAATTGGCGCGTCTTGTCTCTGATACGTTTTGCTCGCCGCGTTCAGTCTGGTGGCGCGTCTCGCTGGTGATGTTTTGACAAAGCCGTCCGGACGCCATTGAAAAGTCTGACAAATAAATTGATTTTGCACCGAAGGCTTTTACAGGTAACGGAGGTGACACGGCTGAATGTCAGCTCTGGGGGCGAGAGCGACAACAGCGGCGGGGTGAGAGGGGGGAGGGGGAGGGGCACAGTGCCTGGTGGCATTTATATCTGTCATGTCAGACAGCCCT